TTGAGGTTATTTTCAAGAAGGTTTATTATTTTTAGTTTTGTATCATCACAGTTTTCGTTATCATTTTCTTTGACTCCTTCGATTCGAAGATTATTTCTTCTTTGACGATCTCCTAATTGTCTAAACCTATTTTTTTCATTCTTCCCTATGGTTGGATTCGACCATATTTTATTTTCCAAATCACTGACTTTTTTATCATTTATTATTATTTTTTTTCCAAATCGCTGACTTTTTTATCATGGCAATCCTGATAGAACATTAGACTTTCTTCAATGTCTTTTTGCATTTTTTCATACTTTATCATCTGCTTGTTTGTTTTTTTAAGATCAGTATTTCGGTTTTCATTTTTTCATTTTTAAAACTTCACAAGTATTCATTAATGTATCAATTTCTTTTAGCCTACTACTACTACTACTACTACTACTACTACTACTACTACTACTACTACTACTACTACTACTACTACTACTACTACTACTACTACTACTACTACTACTACTACTACTACTACTACTACTACTACTACTACTACTACTACTACTACTACTACTACTACTACCTACTACTACTACTACTACTACTACTACTACTAATACTACTGAATAGTAGTATTAGTAGTAGTAGTAGTAGTAGTAGTATATTTTTTAATTCATTAGTAATACTAATGAATTAAAAAACATATACCTAAATTAGATGCAATGAAAAATGTAAGTTTTCATTTTGTAAGGAAAAAAAAACTGTTGCATCTGGTTTTAATTTACGTTACACAAATATAAAAAACAAAGTTTTATCATGTTTTTTCTAACTTACGTTACATAAAAATTGCTAAATTTCTGTCATTATTTTCTTGAAAAATGTAATCATTTTTAAGTATAAAATCTGACCAACAACAAATCGAAAATGTTAGTTCCATTTTTACACTAAACTAATTTTTGTAATTAAATTCATGGTTAAAATAACTTTTTAAATTTATACCTTATTTATGATGCGACAATAAGAAAAACCCTAACTTTCGGAAGCATAAAAATGACTTAAATTAATTTAAGTATAGTAGACAATTATCTTCATTGACTTATAAATGGTTTTCAAAAAAAAGAGGACTCTATCTTACTGTGATTACATAGACAAGTAACTAATATACCACAAAAGCAGGCAATTTTAGTTTAGCATTTGGTTCAGAATCAGACAAAACCAACAACCAACCAACTTTATCAAAACAAACCACGTAATATTTACAATTTTCAAAACTGAAAATTTAAAAGAAAAGATAATAGCTGTATTTTGCATTGTTTTAATTTTCAAACTGTTGCAAATTAGTTATCAATAGTTTGGACCTATTATAATGCTAGTTAATTACGAAGATGATCTAGCGTTTTTTGGAGAACGTAGTAATGGTTCCGGAAAGCGGAAAATTATTAAAACAAAGCAATCAACTGCAAAGGGAAAAATGTAATTTTACGCAGTTATGTTAATTTTAGTTCTAATGCTAACTGTGATTCTTGAACATGATGTAAAAAATGGACTCTACGTGTCAGTAAATACACGGCATCCACTTCCTCTACACTTATCTGTTTTGAACACCTATTTTCATATTCTCTCACTCATTACTTCATAAAGTCTTTGAAAATAAACTTTTCTCCTTACCTCCACTATCTTGTTTTCTAATTGTTCAACAATGTTTACATGTTTTATTTCAAATACACAGTGGATTTGTCTGAAAATGTTGACTGGAGGGCAGCCTGCAAACACAAACAAGGTTCAGCATACAAATGTTATGAACTTACAACAGAAGATTCACAGTAGTTTCAAACTTGCCTATTTAAGACAACTGTCAAGACTGATCAAATACTGATTAAGAACAAAACAACATCTCTTTGGGTATGGTTTAGCATAGGCTCCAAACAACTGATGGTGATGGAAGCTATATTAAAGATGTGTTGTTGATATTTCCAGTACGAGGTCATTCCTTTTACCGTGTGACCACCTATTTGGAAGAATATAACAAGACACATCAAACAAGTCAAATATTACTACACCAAAAAAGTATTATGAAATATTTAAAATGCATGCTGATAAAGTGTTTGTTTACGGTAAGGACTGGGTATAGCATGATTTCAAAAAGGCTGCAGCAGCGAGATGCACATTGCATGTTGAATTGCAAGAACTAAAAAGAATAGTTATTCATTCCTATGAGTCAAAAAGAAAGAGCATTGTTACTGTAAGTGGAGAGAAAGATTATATTACAAATAAAAACAATTATCAGTCACTATTGAAAGCAAAAGCATTTTATTCAAAGATGAAGCCAAAACAAGTGAACAGGTTCCCGATTTTTTCTACTGCAAAACTTGTGGACAATAAAAATCTCCTTAAAGTGACGTTGGGTGAAAGCAGGTAAAGTATTCCAGAGTTAGCTTTCTGCAAGACACTGAGAGTTAGTGAGTCTATTATTGATACAAATAATCCTAAAAATGACTGCGATTGCAGTCATTTTCAGGATTATTTGTATCAATAATAGACTTTTTGGCACTATATCCAAGTATAGTTGTAGGGGCAACAACTATACTTGGATATAGTGCCAAAATATGAGATTCTACATTAGATTACCAGTTTTAAAAGTTCTATTGACTCAAGTTTTAAACACGTCCACCGTAATAAAAAAAAATATTTTTGTTTGAGAAACACATAAAAATCGACAAATAAGCAGATAAATAACAATTTATTTTGACAAAATAACTTTCAGTTAAACAAGATACACTTTAAAAGTTGTTTTACAAAATAAATCTGTAGTTCATTTTGTCTATATCTCTTGCATGAATTTCTTCCTTAACTTTTATGGCTCTTTCAGTACAAATATTGGATCTCTGAATTCCTTGTATTCTACTGGGCTCCTGTGACCATAATCTTTTTAAGGTCTTCATGATTAAAGTTGAAGTTATTGCTTGTTTTAAATTTTTGAAATCATGTTTTGAGTATTGCATGTCAGAAAACCAAATATCAGACCAAGTTGATGCAAAGAAGTTAAAAAACAAGCGCAATTGATTATTATCCAACTCGGTTAAAATAAAGCAGATAAGGGATTAAAATAAAGCAGATAAGGGATTGGTTTTTTGGCTTTTGTAGTGTAGTCCTATTATATTGCAATATTGACTAGCATGACGTAGAGTGTCTAATGTCTGTAGTATAAAATCAAATACTATTATAGTGATACCATAGTATAAAATCTAAGCAGAAGGGCAAAGATTGCTATTGAATTTCATCTGGCATTGTGCAACGATGCTTTTAAAGTATATAGCCTGAAAGCTGCCATTCACCTTCGGTATCGGTATTCATTCATGTATCGGTAACTTTGTACCAAGTTGAACAAAAAATCTGTGTCGTTTCTCCATTTATTAGTGTTCACTTTACAAATTTGTTCACCTTGCTAGAAGCTTGACATCAAATTTTAATAACTTTTTGCAGGTTTTCAATAAATTTGTATTGTAATTCTTGCAATTTTGACACTCTTTCGTAAAGAATTTCCTTTATAGTATGTTTCAAAATTGTGTCTAACACATGATGCTGACAGCTAATAAATTGAAATGGTTCAAGATTTTTTCTTTCAAATTCTCTTTGCAGTTAAATTACAACTTCATTTCTACTCCCAGTATTCACACTCTTAGTGTCAGATATTATAACTTTAATACTACTCTAAAGTTGAAATTTATCCAACACTTCAGCTGTTCCACTGTAAATGCTAATAGCTTTCCCATCATCTAGTTTTAAAATGACTAGTTTCGCCTCCTTTTCTGCATTTTTTAAAACCAAGACTCGATACTCTTTCTCTGAAATTCTTTTACCGTCAAAATGCAACCCCCAATTCTCATTTTTTTAAATTACTAATCATGTGCTTTTTCATTTTTTGAGCTGCTGACATTGTAGCTCTATGAACCGCAGATTTAGATGGGGCTTGCACATTGACACCACATTCAAATAAATTTTTGAAAAGTTGTGCTGATTTCTTAATACTTAGTTTTGACACCCACAGTGGTGTTTTCATATTTTCTCTTAACTTTTTTGTCTGGAAGAATATAATTAGAATCTTGTTTTTCATTTTGTTCATTGTCTTTTTCATTGTTTTCACTGACCTCTACTGTATATGTTTCAGGAATGCTAGGTCTCTCCCTGCCAGCCTTAGATGGATGTACTTAAACAGTTTTTGATGTACAATAACCAACTTGACCATTAGCATCCACTTGTAAGAAATAAAATGCTTTGTTTTCGTTGCTAAGGCAATTAACATTTACTTTAGTTATATCAAATAAATAATCCCACTTTTCTTCAAGACATTGTTTAGATATTTGAACTGAATGATATTTGTTAATGAGAATTTCCACTTTTTTTGTTACTACTAAATTTGTTAAGCAAGTAATCCGATCAATAAAGTAATAAACTTTTGGCATTTTATTCAAACTATCAAGTGGCTCTAAAACTTTGGTTATGTGAGATCTTGTTGATTTTGATTTCTCAAAGTGTATTAGAATTTGAAACCAGGCTTTGATATTTTCAGGTTTTTCAACTTATTCTTGACATTTCTAAAGTATACTTTATACGTTAATTATAATTGCAAGTTACATACGAAGCTTAAAATTAAATCTATTACATTTTAAACACACATAAATAATTTATTATAATTATTCAGGGCCGTAGAAACAAAAATTATAATGCGGGGGAGGGGATAGCAGTACTTTCCAAAATTGTTTTAAAGACCTTTTCTGTTTTAAGTCATTTTTTCAGTCAATTACTTAATTAATTTCAGATTTTAGTAAACACAAAATTTCAACACGCTTATTTTGACAGGAAACAATTAAAGATGACATTTGCAGAAGTATTTAGCATTTGACAAATTTTAAACTATATATATTATATATATATATATATATATATATATATATATATATATATATATATATATATATATATATATATATATATATATATGCAATAAAACAAAATTGCAAGCCTTAAAACGTAAAAACTGGTCAATAAGTATGATTGATAACGCAAGATTATGTAGTAAACATTTTATTTCAGGTATTTAATTTTTTTTTTCTTTTGATAACTAGAAGTTTTTATAATATTATTATCTTTGTTTTTATTTACTTTAACATAAGTTCATTATTTTAATAAAATAAATAAGGTTTTAATTTTTTTTCTTCTCTATTTTTAGGCAAAAAATCAGACAATCCTAATAGTCCTGACTATGTTCCATCTGTTTTTTTATACAGACAGCAATCTTTTTCAAAAAAACATCAAAGTATTGAAAGATTTGAAAGAAGTTGTAAAAGAACAAAAAAAAATACTGAAGATAATTTATCTCAAACAAGAGCTGAAAATGAACAGATGTAAGTTAATATGGATGCAGTAAAATCAGTCGACCCTTTCAAATTAAATCAAGGTAAATAAGTTTTAATTTAATTTTAAGATTTTACTTTCGTTCTTTGATAAAATGGTTACATAATTATGTTTTTAGAATCTCAGACTGATGATGTTAATTTTGTTGCTGAGCTACATTCTAAAGTCAAAACTTTGAGTAAAAATAATGTTGAATTAAAGATTACGATAAACAAAGCTATAAATCATCTGTTTCTCAATATATTTTGTTTGAAAAACTAAAAGATGATAATTCACTTTTATCTTTTTATACTGGTTTGCCAAATGCAAATTTATTTTTGTGGTATTTATTATTGTTTATTGATTGTGTAAAACCAATGAAAAATATACCAATGGAAGATCATTTATTGCTAATATTAATCAAAATCAAACTTGGATTTTTAAATAAAAACTTGAGCTTTAGATTTGGTTTTTCTGAGCCAACAGTCACTAGAATATATAGATCTTGGCTTCCAATTATTGCTGAAAATGTTAAGTTTTTAATTGTTTGGCCAGAAAAGCATGTTTTGCGAAGAAATTCGCCAACAAGTTTTCGCAAAAAGTTCTATAATTGGGTTGCAATAATTGATTGCATGGAAATATTCATTGAAAGACCTTTTAGTCTTCATGCTCGAGCTCAAACTTGGTCAAATTATAAAAACAACAACACAATTAAATATCTCATTGGTATAACTCCATCAGGTGCTGTAAGTTTTTTATCCCCTGGATGGGGTGGTAGAGTGTCAGATAAAGAAATTACAATTAAATCTGAATTTTTAGAAAAAATAACCCATGGAGATTGTGTACTTGCTGATAGAGGATTTACACTTGTTGAAGAATTTGCTACAAAAGGAGGGATTTTAAAATTACCAAAGTTAACCAAAGAAAAAAAGCAGATGTCTTTTGCTGAAGTTGATGAATCACGTCAAATTGCACATGTAAGAATCCATGTTGAAAGGGTAATTGGACGGTTAAGAAAATTTCGAATTCTTCAGAACATTATCCCATTAACTCAAGTTGATTTAATTGATGATGTAATGGTAATAATAACTTCATTAGTAAATATTAACAGTAGTGTTGTTCCTCCAAGCTCATAGGAGTGAAAAACCTTTTTATTTTAACTTTTTTTTTTGTATTATCTTACATTTGGATTGTCTCAAGTACTCTCGAGTCCTTAATACAAGGGGAAGGGGGTGGTTAGTCAAGATCTAATAAAAGTAGGGGGTGAGAATTAACTAAAACTAAAAGTTTTATTATTTATTAGTTACTAGTATATATTTTGTAAACTTTAAGGCCGATTTTCACTGAATTATTTTTTTTAGTTTCGATAGTTTTAGAAATTTTTTGTTGATAACAAGTGAAAATTAATAAACAGAGTGGTCTTAATAAGCTTAAGTTAGGTGGGAAAGTTTTCAAAAATTTAATAAAAATCCCCCCTACCCTTCTAATAAAGACTCGAGAAAAGTAAATTTTATATTACTAAATAATAAGAATTGTTAACAGTTTATTGATTTTTTATTTCTGAAAAAAGTGCCAAAATGTCGTTGACAAAGTAAGATATTTAATAAATATAATATATCCTTTAGTTTATTTATATGCATTCCTTGCAGAACCATTTACCTTTAGGGACATTTTTTATTTCAATACAACTGTAATGAAATCATTCTATTTTGCAGTTTTTTCCGTCGCATCCAATCATTGGTGTAAAACTTGGGCGTTTGCAAATGCAGTATGTTTGATCGCTCAAAAGGTTGTTAGAATCATTTTTTTTAGACACTATTTCAGGTAGTAAAAATTTAAAAAATATTGTTGTCAACTTTGTTTCCAGTTTTTCACAGAAGACCCTATCAATCGGAACTTTAATTTGATATTGTATCGTTTTCATTATTTCCTTCTGTCAAATGTAAAAATGGCAATATGTAATATTAGTAATATACATTTCTTGCTGCACT